GTGGACTTCTGAGAAAGCCCTCTGCTGGTGTTTTGATTCCTGTGATAAGTTGGTGAGCAGTTTGCCTGGTCTGCTGCAGGCCTCTTGTGAGCTGGGTCAGGGGGAGTCGGTTTCTGTGCTGTAGTCATCTCCAGACATCGTGACAGATCGAGGATCTGGTCTGCAGGGTCACCTCCTCCAGCAGCCTTTTGACTACCACACTACCATCTCCATCTTGACCTCTGCCAAGATGTTCACCCACCAAGGTGAACTCAGCAAGCACTCCCTCCCTCTTGCTCCCCTCCCCGCCACCTCTGCCCCAGTACATGCCTCTCACCCAGCAAATGTCTTTGCTGACTCTGGGATGTGAGCAATAGGCATCAGCAGGAATCGGACTCCACAGTCTGCTGGGGAGAAGGACGGGTGGGTAGAGAGATAGAGACAGGAAACATTAAGGTTTCATAAATTTCACACCAACACGTTGACTTTTGTGTGCGCTGATCACTCAGCTGAGAGTTTTATTTAATGTCCATGGTAACCAGTGCAGGAGACCTTGGTATCTCCATCTTATAGGAAAGAGAACTGAAGCTCAGAGTTCATACAATTTGCCTAAGATCTCAGCAATAAAGTGAAAGAGCTGTATACCACGAAACAGTGAATTTAACCAGGGGTCACAAAGTTACCTCCCTCCCTGACGGTATATAGATTGAGCCAGATGAAGGGCTCAGGGAGGGGCGGACGCTCTCAGTCCTTTCCAGATGCTGCATCTGATACTTGGAGGCCCCGCCCTCATTGAAACAACCATTAAAATTGCACGCGCACATCCCTCATTAAACAGAACCCTCTTTGCTTGAAATGTGAAAGGATTTTCATGGATTTCCTTTTGAAATGACTTGCCTCCAAGTAACCCAATCAATTTACTATTGGCTATGATTTCTCTTCAATCATCCTGCACAGTCTGGAACTGTTGCCAAAAATCCAACTTACAAATTGTTTTCAAATATAATGACATGTGTATGGATACCAAACTTAAATATTAAAGCTGATGTTACTTTCTGAAGGCACGTTGCTAAATATTTAGCAATTTTGACATTGTCTTTTTCATAGTTTGAAGCCCCCAAAGATTTTCTTTCAAATCTCCAACATTCCTGGGCCTTTAGAAGTCCACGCTGGCCCCTAAAGAGGAGGGTGCGTGCTAAGTCGCTTCAGCCATGTCCGACTCTCTGTGACCCTATGGACTGTAGCCTGCCAGGCTCCTCTGTCCACAGGATTCTCCAGGCAAGAATACTGGAGTGGGTTGCTGTGCCCCTCCTCCAGGGAATCTTCCCGACCAAGGGATGAAACCCATGTTTCGTCTCCTGCATTGGCAGGCAGGTTCTTTACCACTAGCACCACCTGGGAAGCCCTAGGGTTGCTCATAAAGCCAGGACACTTGGCTCCTCCCCATCTCCAGACATGCAGGCTGCCCCAGCAGATTCAGCTGCAAGACCACCCACCCAAGATGGTCCAGGGTATCCTAATTTGGGCAACTTGGGCTTCCCTGGTGGCTCAGACAGTAAAGAATCTGCCTGCAATGCAGGAGACCTGGGTTCGATCCCTGGGTTGGGAAGATCTTCTGGAGAAGAGAATAGCTACTCACTCCAGTATTCTTGCCTGGAGAATTCCATGGACAGAGGAGACTGGTGGGCTACAGTCCACAGGGTCGCAAAGAGTCAAACATAACTGAGTAACTAACTTTCTTCATAGATTATTCTCATTTTGAAAGCAGAATGATTTGCCAAATGTTGGGTTAAATGTGATTTAATGCTTAAATCTTTATTGGAATTCCATATAAATACATTTACAAATGAGCCAATGCTTTGATGGAGTAAATGTTCTTATAAAAGGTTTGGAAATTAGGATCACTGTCATCCTAACCAAGCCTTACCAGCCCCTCCCATCTAGGGGCACAGTCAGTGGCCCCCCCTGGTCCCCTCACGTCCCGTAGGATGTGGCACGTGAAGGTGAAGCAGGGCAGGCCAGGGTGTGATGTGTCCTGGCACAATCCACCCAACCACAGTGTTTTGTGACTGACAAGGGACAGTCCCCTGGCGCAGACTTTATTCAGGGCTGGCCCCATTCAAGGCAGACTGGCCAAGGCAAGCTGACTTGCCTATTTTATTGTGTCTGGGGCCTTTCAGAGCAGACTAGTTTTTTTAATTCCCTCTGCCATCCACCATCACTCCACTCCCTTCTCCATGCAAGAGGCAGAAGCCCTAAGGAGGGAAGATGCAGCCTCTTCACAAAGCCTTCCATGCATGCCTCCCGAGCAGGTCATGGGGAGGGGCTCAACATGATCCCATTAAAGGCAAGGAGGCAGGACTGCACAGGAGGCGTGGGCGAGGTAGAGGGTGGCAAAGAATTTTAACTGCGGTTTACATGCTTTGATTCATTCTATCAAGAAGCAGTAAGACAGGTAGACGATAGATACCTTGGACCTGGTCATTTTACTCATGGGCATCGAGATTTGGAATATTCTGTAAAGCCTTATTTGCATGCTAAGTCGCTTCAGTCGTGGCCAACTCTTTGCGACCCTATGGGCTCAGGACAGAGGCTCCTCTGTCCATAGGACTTTTCAGGCAAGGATACTGGAGTGGGATGCCACGTCCTTCTTCAGGGGATCTTTTCGACCTAGGGATCGAACCTGGGTCTCCTGCATCTCTGGGATTGGCAGGCGGGTTTTTTTTCCCACGAGCGCCTTTTGGGCGCCCAGCGTTGTATGTGGAGAGACTATTATCTCTCTCTCTCTGTGCGCTTTTTGTTTTTTATCTCGAGACTCAATGAATCCAGAGTCAACCGGTGAGGATTATTATTATTGATTGTTATTATTATTGCTGTTATTATCCCTAAGAAATCAGTGAGGACATGGAGGCACAGAGAGAAGTGACTTGTCCAAGGTCACATAGCCAGTAAGCAGTGGAGTCAAAGTTCAAACCCCTGTGGTCTGGCACCACGGCAGACAGTGGTAGCCACAACATTAGGCCACAGTGATTCCTAACAAAGAGCCCTGACGGTCAATTATGGTGAGGTTCACCATGGGACAGTGTACAGTAATCAAAATTTATAAAGAATATGAAAATATTAATGAAATGTGGAAAGACATTAAAATATTTTTAAAATACAAAACAATACATGTGTGATCTCACGTAGATGTAGGGCAGAAGCCAACACAGTATTGTAAAGCAATTATTCTCCAATTAAAAAAAACAATTTTAAATGTCTTTTTAAAAAGAGCTAAAAAGTATGTAATATAAAATATATAAAATATATTTTAAACATATAAATGTATCTCAGAAGTTGACCAAATATCTGTTGAAACTGGAGGATTGTGAGTGGACTTTTTTCTTCTTCTTACTTTTCTATATTTTCCAAATTTCTTTCATGAAAATTATTGTTTTCAGTTAGGAAAAAGTATTAAGGGCTGGTTTAAAATTATTTGCTCTCAATAAGTGTTTAAAAGAGAAATTTCTGAGAAACAAAAACTCCACAAGTAAGTTGTTTTTTAAAAAAATAGTGGGGGGGGGAGGTTTGCTAAGAAACTTTTTAAACTGGTAATATGCTTACAGCAAGACCTCAGAACACTGAGAAAGGTGTACAAGAGACGAAAAAACAGAATGAAGGGTTCTATTACAAGAAAAGTTCATTTACTCATTACTCATTACAATGAGTAAATAAGGAGTCTTTGCTGTCCTAAGGCAGCTCTTGCCTTTGAGGAACGCTTCTACAAATCCTTTATCTTACAAATGAAGACACAGCATGTTGTTATTAAATACAGTCACTTCCTTGAAAAGTAAGTTTCCAGCAGCCGGTTAAAGATCCTCCTGTGGGCATATTCAGGCCCAGCGTGGGCCACGAGCTCCCCTGGCTCCAGCCCAGACTCAGCCACTGGCCCATTCCATCTCCTGAGCCCACTCCATCCCCAACAGAAATCAGCCAGACTTTTTACAATCTCTTGCTTATCATCCAGCTCTAACACACTGCTCTCCACTGTATAAATGACTAGAACAAATTGGCTAGAGATGCCTTCTGAAGACAGAACCCTGGGTCTTGGCCAGGAGTGAGCCCGTAGCCCTCAGGAGGCAGCGGCATCAGGGAGCCTCTGCCCGGGGCAGATGCAGGAAGAGAGCTGGGGCTGGAGAAGGGCAGGCTGACGGAGAGGAAGCCAGCCCCCTGCTCCCGCACCAGGCCCTCAGTCACACAGGCTCATGCTGTTCCAAGGCTAATTGAGTCAGAACAGAATGAACAGCACGTCTTTCTCCCCACTCAGCAGCAGCAGCAGGAAACAGCTTCTCTATCACCAACCCAAGACCTGCACAGCCCAGGGCACATTCCACTCTCCTCCTTACATGAGCAACAGACTCCAGCAACCTCTGTGCCCAAGGAGGTGCTCCCCAAAACCATGCGTTAACCACAGGACTGAAGCCAAGTTGCTTAAGTCTGCATTCAAAAAGCTCAGGCTTGCTCCAACACTTTCAAGAGAATCTGCTGGGAACATGCAGATTTCTGCACTATGCCTCCCACCTACTGACTCAAAGTCTCTGAGGGCAGGACCTGGAAATGGCATTTTAAACAAGCTCCCCAGAAGAGCCTGATGCTCCTGGAATTGCAGAACCACTGGCCTCAGGGTTGCATGTAAGTGCATATTCCCACATCTACTGGAGGCTGGGAGGGAAGAGGATGGAAAAAGTGGAAAGGGGATGCTACTCCCCAAAATGATGTAATATGGATGTGCCCCAGACCTGGAGCCAAGTGTCCACTTCAGAGGGGGTGGGCCGGGCTGGATGAGGGCCTAGGGGCAGCAGTCGGGTCCCTGGCGGGCCTCTCCTCCCACCCTGCTTCCTTTGTCAGTTTCCACATGCATAAACATTCAAGTCCATTCGTTCCCCTCAGAACTTGCTGCCCCTCCATCCACAAGGCTCCTGGATCCAACCTCAGCCACCGTCCACCACGGCTCTCCCTCTCCCAACAGAGACTCCACCTGCCTCATTACTTAAATAATCTTTATTTCTCATGCACTAGGAAAGATGGGATTGTATGAAACACTGCATTTCATAGCAAAGGCCTCAGTCCAGATCACAACACAGGGGACCCGGGGGGATCCAGGTGTAGTCAAAACTCTGGGGACCACAGTGGGGTTACTACTCTCAGGGCTGGTGGCAGATCTGGGACCCTCCCGCTACAAGGGCCCCGAACACAGCACAGGGCGGCTGCCCCCTCCCACAGAGGCACAGGAAGCTGACACCAGAGAAGCACACGGACCAGAGAAAGGACGGAGGAAACTACTGGGCAGTGACTTGGCAGAGGCAGGTCCAGCACCTCCAGGGCCCGAGTCCAGGCAGCCAAGGCTGGGACTCAGCCGACCCTACCTGCCGTAGAGCCGCTGGAGCTCACAGATCCCAGGCAGCCCATGCCCACAACAACATATGTGTATAGGCCACACCTGACTGCCTCCCCGGCCACTAAATTCAAGCCCCAGTCAAGCTTGAATTTACCCAAGCAGGACCCCAAGGGCTAGAGGGGCCAGCCCCCCACAACCATCCCGAGCTCTCAGATGCCCGAAGGACCAGTCAGGCTTCAGAGGATCCTGGGACAAGGCTTCTGGAAGGACAGAGCTCAAGCCTGGGCCCTCAGATGCCACGTGAGCCAAGATGAGGGCAAACCGGCCCCACTCGCCCCAGGGCAGCACACGAACAGACACAGGTAGAAACATGCAGGACAGAACAAGGAACGACACATGCAGAGACCGTAACAGGCCAGGAGGGGTCTGCAGACAGGACGCGGGCAAGGTGCCAGGCTCACTGAGGCCCGGGGCTCATGGTGATGCCCGCCTCCTCCGGGATGGTCTCCAGCGTCTCGCTCTGCACGGCCTGCGTGATGAGCGCCAGCTCCTGGCACAGGGTCTCGTGGCGGTAGCCCACGCGGATGTCGGGCACGTTGGTGCGGCGGATGTCGTTGCCCTCAGGGCCCTCCTTGGTATAGTTGGGTCCCAGCCAGTGGCTCTTCACCTGGAGGGGCAGGGTAAGGTGCAGGGCTGCCGCTCGCTCTCAGGGGCCAGCCGCCCTGTGGGTCTGTGTGTGTTAGTCACTTGGTCATGTCCGACTTTGTGACCCCATGGACTGGAGCCCACCAGGCTCCTCTGTCCATGAGATTTCCCAAGCAAGAATACTGGAGTGGGTTGCCATTTGCTCCTCCAGGTAATCTTCCCAACCCAGGGACTGAACCTGAGTCTCCTACACTGCAGGCAGATTCTTCACCTCTGAGCCACTGGGAAAGCCCAGCACCCCCAGGACCTTCCCAAAATGCAGAGCAGGGGAGGAGAGGGAATGGGGAGGGGGTGCAGTACCTTGTGGGAGAAGCCACTCATGAGCACGCTATTGCGTGCCAGCTCGCACATGTCACAGGAGCTGAGCTTCCACACCTGGGTGGCGATGCTATACTCCTCCATCAGCGGCTCCTGCAGGGGCCAGGTTCCCTCAGGCAGGTGCACGGGGGCCTGCTGCCCACCCTGTCCCGGGGACTGAGCACTAGGCACGCTGCACTCCACCAGCAGAGGCCAGCACCAGCACCGAGGCCCCGCAGCCCAGGAGGCTTTGTGCCCCAGGACAGCCGCCTGCCTGGCTGCCTGCCGGATGCTGACCTTGGTGAAATGGAACTGCAGGGGATCGTCCGTGGACAGCGAGACCATGAGGCCACGGGACAAGTACTCGGGCAGCGGGTTCCGGTGGTAGCTGAGGAAGAGGCTGTTGTTGCTGAGCGGGGACATGGCGATGCCAACCTGGGCCAGGTAATACAGGTACTGCAGGACCGGGGCCTAGGTGGGCGACAGGGAGGGTGGGCCTGTCAGGTTGGGGAGGACACCTGGTTCTGGGGGGTACAGGCCACAGTGCAGCTTGGGGGGCAGTCCAGGCTGGGCAGGAGCTGCAGAGGGTTGGTTACAGCCAGGTTCTGAATTGGGGCCTTGGTGTGGAGGCTGGGGTCCCAGCTGGGGGTGGGTGAGGAGGAAAACCAGCTGCTCAAGAGGCCTGATGGGCAGGGAGCAGGGGAGCCTCTGGGATGGGGGAGGCAGGAGTGCAGAGCCTGACCTTGCGCAGAAGCAGCCCGTGCGAGATGTTCTCAGCCAGCATGAAGGCCGACACCAGGTGGTGGATGGGCCCTGCCTCCCCGCAGTGTGGCCTCAGCACGAACGTATGGAAGCCCCTCTGTCTGGGGGGCCAGAAGACAGCATTGGGTCCCAAGCCTGGCGCGCCCAGGCTCCTGAGCCCCCACCCAGTGACTCTGCGGGCTGAGGACCAGGGGTCAGGGGTAGGTTCTTGGCTGCAAGGGTTGAACTACAGAGCTCCGGGGACAGAGAAGCAACCCGTCAGATCCAAGACTGGGGGTAAGAGGTGGGTCAGGTGGCCCCAGCAGGCCCCAGGGCAGGCCCCGAGCAAGGCCTGCTGACTGAGAGCTAGTCAGGCGGGTAGAGACGCGGCACCTGAGGAGCCCAGGGCAGGCACCTGCGAAGGTGGTTCAGCATGGCCATGTTGGCGAAGGTGTAGTACAGGTAGTAGGCGTAGGGCGGGTTGTCCTCCTCCACCCAAGCCTCAGGGAGCGGGCTCTCCAGGTTGAAGACGTGGTTCTCGGGCTTGGACTCATCATCCACACTGTCAAAGCCGTCCACCTGGCGCAGGACGCTGGGTCAAGCCCAGGGCTACAGCTAGGCCTGAGGCAGTGCCCTCCCTACACCCAGACCCGGGCCACCCCTCACATGCTCCAGGAAGAGATGCAGCTCCGGGTGGCTGGCAGGGTGGATGGTGGCCTCAAACAAAGGCAGGAAAATGTTCTCCAGCATCTCCTGGAAGTTGGCCAGCTGGCCCTTGGTACGGTACACATCGCTGCGGGCGAGATGTAGGTACACAGGTGCACGTGGGTCAGGGCAGAACCAAAGAAGCACTTCTGAGCCATACTGAGTGAGTGGCGCTGGAGAGACCGTGAGCGGAGCCAGGGCTCCCTCCTGTTCCGAGGGCTCAGCTGGGGTGGGGGAGGGTCAGCCATCCCAGAGGGCAGGAGGCCAGCCCTGGCCCCATGACCTCTGCCCCCCACGTTCCCTCCCACACCCAGGGACACTCACAAGAGGCGGGGCACCTGCACGAGCCAGCGAACGTTGGGGGAGTGTACACGGTGCATGACAGCCCAGCGCGCTAGCTTGTCCCACTCGTCCCTTGAGCGCCCGTAGATGGAGAGCCGCAGCTCCGCATTCTGGTATTTGCTCTCCTCCAGGTCAGACATCACCTCCTGAGCGGCATGCGTGGGCAACTGTCACCCTCAGGCTTCTTCCCCATCCCTGTCCCCGTGCCCACGAGGCACGCTCCATCAGACCTCTTCATGCCTCTCACCTACCCCACAAGCCCCCAGCCACCCAGGCTCTCCCTCAGTCAGGGAGGGCTGCCCTCCTCCTCACCTTGATGATGTGAGCAAAGTACTTCCCAGAAACCCTGTTGTCCGTCTTGATGAAGATCTCTCGGAGGACAGACTCCCCAATGGGGTTGTATTTGGCATTGAACTTGTCAAAGCGATGGAAGGTGTTTCTGTCCTGGGAGAGAAAGGCCAGCCCAGGTCACCCCTGAACCCCAGCCCGCACACCAGCCCAGCCCATCAGCCCCAACGCTGTGACTGACTGCGTGCACATCGAGCGTGTCCACACTCAGGTCATAGGCCGTGAGGTTCATGCTCTCGAAGACCTCCCGTAGCGTCTGCTCACGACCCTGCTCCACGTGCACGATCTCCTCCAGGTGCCGCTTCATCGCCCGTTTGATGAAGCGCAGCAGATGCTTCTGGTTCATGCAGGATGAGGCATGGATGTGCGTGTCCACCTGTGGTGGAACGGGCACTGCTGGGGCCTGGGCAGTGGGATGGGAGAGGACTCTCCAAACTGGATGCTGGGGAGGTGGGCAGGCCGTGGATGGGGAGGCTGGGCAGGGGTGCTGGGTCAGCTGTGTGGGGGCCCAGGCCCCAGAGGTGGAGGCTGGGCAGGGGTGCTGGGTCAGTTGCGTGGGGAAGGCCCACCTTGCGGATATTGTAGAAATCTCGGTGTGGCACCTTCTTCTGCGCGGCCAGCTCCTTCATTTCGTTGAGCAGCACATGCATCTGGAACTTGGAGCTCAGGTACTGGAGCCGGCGGTAACAGAATGACTTTCTGAGCAGAAGGAGAACCAGGCAGGGGCTCAGGCATGCGGGGAGGCACCCGGGAGGGCCTAGGTGGCAGAGCCAAGGGAGGGAGCCGGAGATGCGGGAATGGGGCTGCCAAGGGGAACAGCAGCCAAAGACAGGGAAGTCCAGGACTCAGGGACTATGAAAGGGTGAGACTGGGTGACAGGTGTCTGGGGCCAGACTGGAAAAATCTGAGTTGGGAGAGGAGCTGAGTGTCTGGGTCAGGTGCGGACTCACATGGGGCCATTGATGATCAGAGCCATCAGCACATTGACATCTGCCACAAATTCCTGCAGGTCGGGATATGGCAGCTCCACCTCTGTGTAGCTGGTGTGTAAGGGGAGCTTGAGTGAGGAGAGCAAGCCAGGAGGCCCTGCAGGCCCTCCTAAGCCAATGCCAGCCCCCTTAGTTTCCGCCCCTCCACGGCCCCCAGCACACCCTACACCCCTCTTACTGCTCATCAGGTTCCCTGTGGGTGTACACATGAACCACGCCCCGCACCATGCGCAGACCCAAGCCCAGGTCCCCTGGCATGGTGCTCGGCTCACAGTGCTCATAGGGGTGCTGCTCCAGCACTGGTGGGTGCACCGGGGCATCTGCAGGGGCGAAGAGGATGGAGTCAGGGCCAGGGCTCTTCCAGGCCACCTGCTGCCCAGCCCAGAGCCCCCAGCAGGACAGCTCCTTCCCTTGCCTCCCCGCCCTGCACGCCAAGAGGCTGGGAAGGAGGCAGGCTGAGGTTCCTGGGCACCCAGCTCAGGGCGGCGGGATGCCAGGGTACACGGAGTAGGACAGGGATGGGGGGTCCCACCAGCGGACACGGGGGTGTCGGGGCCCTGCTCGTAGGTGCGTGTCTCCAGGGGCTTCTCGGCCAGCTGCTGCAGATACCGGCGGGTGGTGGGGCAGAAGCTCTGCAGCGACAGGGCCATGTACTTCTCCCGGATGAACAGCGCCCGCACCACACTCTTGGCCGCATCCAGCAGGTCTGTGAAGGGCACCTAGAGACAGAGATGTGGACTTGCTCTCCTCGGTCCCAGACCCAGCCCACTCTCACCTCCTTCCTGAGGCCTGCACCCCAGAAACACTCAGACCATTCTATGCTCAACAAGATGACAAGCTCCCAACCAGAGCCTCTGCCTCTCCAGGTTTTCAGAAGGAGAAACAGCCCCTCTAGCCTCTATCCCCATAGCCCCAGACTGGGGGAGCCCATCAGGTTGCAAGGACAGGGACACTCACCCCACACTTCTCCTCGCCAGAGATGGTCACCCGCTGAAACTCCCGCTCCAGCACCACGTCGCGCTCCCACAGGCCCCGGTCACCCTGCCCCTCACCCTGCTCCTTGTAGAGCCTGCAAGTGGGGAGGACAAGGGAGGGGCTGGAAGCAGCAGAGGGACAGGCCCCAGCCCCGCAGCCCCCGTGTCCCTCTGCCCTCCTCACTGGAAGTCCGAGTCACTGTCAGTCTTCAGGAAATCTTGCTTGGCCCGAAGCAGGATGTCCGGCTCCAGCCTGGAGGCGAGAGGAGAGGGCAGGCATACGATGAGGCCCGTGCTCCTAGCCGGGCCCCCGCACTGTCCAAGGTGCCGTGTGCGTGTTGTCACTTGTGGCCCTCACAGGGCTGAGGAACCCTGGGCCACGCGGGCTGTTCTCGCCCCACATCAGAGATGAGAAAACACACCCAGAAGTTAAGCCACATGTTCCAGGACATGCTGGCGGGCAGAAGGCTGAACCAGACAGAGCCAGACAGAGCCCAGCAGCCTGACTCCAAAGCCTATGCTTCTGTATACCACTACTCTGCGCCACCTCTCGGGGGTGGCCCAGAGGGAGGACTGGTTGGGAGAGAACAACGATGGGGCTCTGAAAGCATCCAGATGGAAACAGAGGGATGCTGGGCAGGCTACTTACTACTCCCCACTACCCTATAGCTGCCGCCTGGCTGTGCCCCTGCACCCTGCAGTGGCCTGGCCGAGCCCCCACCCCGTGGCCGCCTGGATCTGCAGCTGGGGGCTTACTTGACATCCTGGCTGATCTGCCGCTCCAGGCGCTGCCTCCGCTCCTCCAGCTGTTCGATGGGGCTCTCCTCAGGGAACTCGTAAGGGGCGCTGCGGAGCTCACTCTCAGCCAGGGAGCGGCTGAACAGCTCCTGGTGGGAGGGAAGGAGGGGTCAGCGTGGCCAAGCCATCAGGGTCCAGGGATGCAGGGAGGGCACAGGGGCTGGGGGTACCTGGGACCACCTAGGGATCAGGGCACAGCCAAATATAAAGTTAGGGGACAGCTGAGGTGGAAGGGTGCAGGGAGCGGGGACCAGGCGTGGAGGCAGCGACGGGGGTGGGTGGGGGAAACGCAGGGGGTGGTGCCAAGCGATACCTCGGCGATCTCCTTGCATTTGCCATCCATGGACGTGCGCAGGTCGAGCGGGAAGTGCTTGAGGCAGGGGGCAGGGCCTGGCAGGGATCGGGCAGACTGTAGCGGAGGGGCCCCCAGCCCACCCCGAGCCTCTGTGGAGACAGTGATGCGGGGGTCAAAGAGTGGAGGGCAGGGCTGAGGTACACTGGAAGCCCTGGGGCTCAGCATTACCCAAGGCCAGCCCCAGAGAGAGGCCAGCCCCGCTCAGAGGCTGCGGCGTGAGCCTACCTGTGCCCCTCACATGCAGTCTGGGGACCCCTCACCCACTCCAGGTTCGGGGGTGGGGCTAAGAGTTGCCCCTACAACAAACAGACTCATTCACCCCAGGAATAAAAATCTGAATCCTGGACTAGGGGCCACTCCATCAGGCCATGAGACAACCTCTAAGTGAGTACCTGCTACAGGCAGCGCCCACGTGTCCACGTACACACATGCACACTCTCACACCCTCTCTCCAGGCGCTCATCCACACCAGCGAAGCCCAGCGTACAGCTTCCACGGCAGACAGTCCAGGGTCAGACCTGCCTCTGGATGAGCAGACGGCCTCTCGAGGGCAGGCTGACCTAGACCTACAGAGCCTGGGGGAGCCACAGCTGCCACTCGGCTCTGGCCTGGGGACTGGCCCCCGAGGGAAGAGGAGGAGAGGAAGTGGGGGACCTGGTTGGGAGCAGGACCCCGACCTCCTCCCGGGAGGCCTGCCCTCTCCCCCAGGACCCCAGGGCTGCCAAGATGTGGCCTGGCCTCAGCCTGCCCCTCCCACTGCTGGCTGCCCCTCCAAAGGGAGCTACCACAAACAGTCTGCGCCACTCAGAGGCCCCGGGATCTGGGCCGGAGGCCCTGGGGAGGGCCTGGGGAAGGGAGGATCGGCAGCCAGAGTCTCTCTACACAGAGGGAAGGATTCCTTAGCTTCCACAGGAGGCTGGCACTAAAGACCTTGAAGCTGAAGAGTCTAGAGAAGCTGCCTGAGCTCCCAGCCCACCCCAAAGGACCCTCCCTGGGCTCTCCAACCCACCCTTCCCAGCAGGAAGCTCTCCAGCCAGCTCTGGGGTACTCCCCTTCAGCACCCTCCTTCTCCCTCCCCACTGTGGCTCAGGGATGGACTGGAGGCTCTACCCAGGTGGCGTGCTTTGAAGTCTCCAGGCTGCTTTCCAAAAACCTGAGTCCTGTCCCACAGCTGGACAAAAAGAAGAGGGGGTATCTGTCCCAGATCTAGGATCTAGGCCCCCCCCCGCCACACACACACCCTCCTGCCTGCCTGGGTCCTACCTGCAGTCAGGCAGCGCCGGCCAGCAGCCCTGTGCCCCTTGCCCGCCTGTTTGCTGAGTGGAGCTGCAGCCAGTCCCCCAGGACAGCTCAGGGGCCGGCACGGGCTGTACCAAGTGCAGCTGTGTGCAGGGGAGGCCCTGGGATGCTCGCAAGCAGGGGGCTGGGGAAGCTCAGAGGAGCACAGAAATCAAGGGAAGGAGCAGCAGAGCTGGGAGATAAGAGAAACCCCCAAACTGAACAGGGCCTTAACCTCTACAGTGCCAGGGCCCAGCCCAAGTGGGGCCCCTAAGGGAGAGAAGCAGAGCAGGCTGATACAGGCAGGGCGGCTGGCAGGGAAGGGACAAGCCCCCTTAAAATGAAGTGCCCTAGGGGATGGCATGCAGGGCCTGGCTGACCAAAGGACAGGAGGGGGCAGCAGCCCTCCTGGGCTCCACTCCCCAACACCCCTAGGTCAACTCCCTCTGCCCAGTGGCCTTGTTTTGCTCACCACTGTCCTCTAGGCCCCTGACTATGGGGTCCCTTGGGAGAGACGGGGCCTCTGCAGGGGAGACATGCTGGCTGGCAGCCGGGGTAGACACTCAGTCCAGGGAGCAACCAGTTTATGGAGCTTCTCTGCTGCCCCAGAGACCAGTTCAAGCCCCCTAGAACTCCAACTCTTCTCCAAGCCTATTGTCGGGGACAAAATGCCTGGGAGGAGAGGTTCAGACATAGGACTAGAATTTGGAGGACTTAAGTTTGACTCTGTTCCCAATTACAGGCGAGTCTCTACCATCCGGAGGCTTCAAGTCTGTCTACAATGGGGTGATAAGGGGTCCTGCCCTGCCTAGCCACAGCTACCATAAGGCACACAGAGATACGGCTCTGCAAGCATTCTGGAAAGCCCCCACTATCTGTGATTAGGAACTCCTGGGACCCTCCAAACACTTCCCACACGCAGTCCCACCCACTAAGGGTGGGTGAAGCTTCGGGGCCCAGCCCAGACCAAGGCACAGAGGACTGAGGGCGTGGAGGGAACAGAATGGGTGGGGTGGGGGCACTATCTCTGACTTGGAAGAGAGCAGAGCTGAAAAAAGGAAAGATGGGCACTAGCTCGGGCCTCAGAGTTTAAGGCACAGCCTAAGGTTCTTGCATTCCGCCCAAGAACCCTGATCCTACACAATCCTCCCCTTTTCTAACCCCTCCAGAGAGGCCGGCCACAGACCCCTAGGACTGGTCTGTGTCAAGTCAGCAGAACGGACACTGAGGCCCTGATCTCAATCACCTCTCCTAGCAGGGTGACCCAGGGCCTCCTCAGAAATGCTGGGGTGGCCCGGACAGGTCCTAGCAAGCGGCACCATCCCCTCAGCCTGTTGGGCCACCACAAAGGACTGCCAGGGCTCCCTAGAGGTGACAGACAGGCAGTAACCACCACACTCCCTGAGGACCAGCTGCCTGCTGGTCACTTTCTCCCAGGGTCTGTGCCACAGCACCACACACACCACACACACACACACACACACACATGCGCACGCGCGGCGTGGGAGAAGTAGCCAAAAGTCAGAGGGGGCTATGCCCTAGCCATTCCCCTTAACTCAAAGATTCTTGCCAACCTATCTACCCACTTGACCAGAGCCCCTCACTTACTGCCAAGGCTGCCGCAGTAGGCAGAGACTACTCAAGGCTTTGACCTACAAGTATCAGCTGCTCCCACCATGCGACCACCCGAATGTGGACAAATCTAGCCTCAGGGGACACACCCTGTGGGGGCACAGACCTGGGCACAGAGGACAGAGCCCCTCGGGCCAATACAGAACTCAGGCCAGCATCTTCAGGAGCATAAGAAAAACAGAAGGTAGGCAAAAGAAAAATCAGGCTACGAGTACAGACAGCTGCTGGGGGGATGGGGAACACTGGCTTGACCTGGTCATCAAAGTAGGGGTGGGCTTCCCTTAGCCACAGGCCTGAGACCAGCAGACAGCAGGTCGATTCCCTCAGCAAACACAGATCTGGGCAGTGGAGCCCTCAGGAAGATGGGCACAGCTGCACCATGCTGCCAGCTCCAAATGCTGCAGAGATGTCCACTGGACTAGGAGCTGAACCAAAGGGTGCAGTAGCACATGCAGGTGGGCAGCAGCCCCAGCCTGAGCCCCAACACTGGCCCGGCCCAAGGGTACCCCACACTTCTGAGGAAGCTCACAAGACAGACCAGAAATGAACAAACTGCAAACAATAGATACAGCTGAGCCCGCAGCCCCTGGAAGCCCACAGCAGTAAGTGTGCCCTAATGTCAGACGCCCAGTAAGAGGGTTCAAGATCTGGGATCCTGGAAAGAGAAACTAACCTCAGGAGGACAGCCCGAGTCTGCCTGGTAACCACACAGCCGCCAGCAGTGTGGCCAGTCTGCAAACCAGTCAGTCCCACACATCCCCCACTCCACACACACTCCACATGCAAACAATCTTAGCACAGCCACACACGGACACGTGTGCAAATACACTCTTGCTGCACCCACACCCACACCCACTCCTCGTTACAGAGGACCGCATCCCTGACACAGAAACCAGTCACCCTGCACCCCACCTCCGTCCCCAAACCGCCTCCCAAGCCAGCTGTCCCTGGGAAGAGGACAAGGGGCATCACTGCCGAGAAGGTATAGGAGAAGTCCCTCTACTTAGGGGACCAGTGGCCTGGATGAGAGGTGAGGGTGGGGAGCAGGGCCAGACTGAGGACAGGACGCATACACTCACCTGGTAGTGCAAAGGAAGCCTGGAGGCTGGCCCGCTTCTTAAAGGGATATTTGGCCTGGGGATTGCCGGGGCCAGATGAAAAAGATGCCATGGCTCAGGCCGCCGCCGAGCCCGCGGGGGTAGTCTGAGCCGCACCAGCTGGGCCTGGCTCTGCCACATCCAACCCCTTCCTCCGCCCCGCCCCCAGCGGGAGTGACTGATGCAGGAAGCAGAGGCCCCGCAGGCGGAAGAGGCCCTGGCCACGATTTCTGATGTTGTCTAGGCAACCTCAGGAAGGGGGGGCCTCCATCCCTGCCCCTTATCCCTCCCATCCTCTCCTCAATCCCAGGAGTGACTCGACTGATGGTAACTGGGCCTGAGGGGGTGGAGGTGAGGAAACAGAATGGGGATGGGCCAGCCTCAAGCACCCTACTAACCCCGCTATGAGCCAGGGCTCTGGAGCAAGATGGTCAAAGTTCAGGCTAACTGGTCCAGCCAGCCTGGGAGAAAAAAAATAATAATAGAGGGAGGGATCCAGCTCAGGTACCCCAAGCTCAGAACACATTTCTCTCAGGGTCAGCGGACTCCGTGAAAACACAGCCCCTCTGGGGCAGAATCCCCATTTTTCCTTATCTGAACCCCTGGCCCCAGGTGGCTCAGTTCTGGGAGGATGGGGTAGAATTGAGAATCCCAGTCCAGTAGGGAGGAGCCTGTCTTGGGAAAATTCCACTGTCCACAGAAGCTGCTCTCTCAGAAGACAGGGAGGCCAGGAATCAGGGGCTTTCTCTGGGGTCTGGGAAAGAGACCCCAGTGGCTTCTGACGTTTCCTTCTGTCTTTCCACACTCAGGCTCTGCTCTCCTGGCCGCTCCCCAGGAGCCAGCCGCCTTCCCTAGGTCTGAAGGCACTGCACTTCTCTGTCCCAGAGACCCTGCCCCCCTTCACACACACACACTCACCTGAGGCCATGCTGCCCGAGCCCTGGGGGGAACCGGGGAGTCTGTTCGCCAGGGTCTGCACCGCCTGGAAACCCGGTCACGAGGGAGGGGAGGAGGGCTAGGGTGCAGACCCTGCCAAGTGGCTCCAAGGGCCCCGGCCCTGGCACTGAGATGGGAGAAGTAAGACAGTCTTTCAAAATTGCTGGCTGGTTGGAGGCGGGCCCCCTGCCGACCTGGGCCGCTGCACTGGCCTTGTAGACCCCGGAGCCCCGACCACCAGCCCGGCACTCGGGAGGCGGGCAGGCCACGTGCTCCCCAGAGAGCGGGACCTGGAACTCGTCTTGACTTCTCGCCACACTTTCAGTGTATTCGGGGTCGGATTCCGGTAGCTGGAACGTGGGGGGGTCACGCAACAGGTGCGACCCCACAAAAACCTCTCCAGCGACGGCGCTCTCCTCCGCAGCCCCAGGCCCCGCCAGGTCCGTGGCCCCGCCCCTGCCCCGGCCCGCCCCCGCCAAGCGGCCCCGCCCCCGCCATTTTTCCTCTCCCGGGCGCCACGTGGGCAGCAGCCACTCAGCATCCGCCCGGCAGCGTCTTGGGCAACTTCTGTGCGTCAGCTTCCTCACCAGTAAAGTGATGGGGTAATCGCGGTACCTCCCTCACTCAAAGAGGTTACTGTGAGAATTAAACGTTAAGCACCTTTGCACGATGCTGGGCAAAAAGCCAGTGCCCAATAAAAGACAGATAGCTATTATTATAGTCCCAGGATTCCCTTTTAGCTGAAGCCCTTCCCCGCATTCTTATTCTAGGTCGTCTGTTTTCTTACTCAGGCAGGCGTAGCTGGGCAGGGTGTGCCCTGCAATTCTGGCTCCCATTCCCACATTTATTTGTGTACTTGTTGGTCAAGAGCTCAGGCTCTGTAGCCAGAATGCCTGGGTTCAATTCCAGACTCCATCTACTTCCTGACTGCCCTTGGGAATATTGTTAACTTCTCTGTGCTTCTTCTATTTCCTCTATAAAATGAGTGTGAGACCCTACTTTATAAGCTGTTAGGACAAATGAACTAACAGAAGTGCCTGGCTTTAGTTACACTCAATGTTTCCTATTATTGCTGTGTCCTGGGCCTTGGTCCCCTTTACACTCTAAGCTGATTCAGCTTGTAGCCTATAAAGAATGTATGTTGGGCTATTTTGGGGACTGCAGATACCCCACCCAACCAGCTCCCCTACTCCCAAATGGCCGAGAATCCTACCACCAGGTTTGAAGGAAACCTGTGGGGGAAAGGACCTAATGTATTACCAGCTCAGTCTTTTTCCTATTCTCCACCTTGTGGGAGCCCTTTGTCCCCCAAACCCAGTTGTATTAATGCTGTTTGTCCAGCTCCTCCCACTCCTCACCATCCCTGCAGTCAAATTCCTCCCCAAACTCTGCCTCCTCCTCCATCCACCCAGGCTGGATTGTGGACCCTGAACCCGATTCTCTACCTGAATCTGGTATTGCCTCCATTGATCCCTGCCTAGTGCTCTTCACCCTGGACAACTAAAAAAAAAAAAGACCTCTGTAAACAAGGGGGGAAAAGTTCACCTCACAAAGAATCAATGAAACTAAAAAGAGAACAAGGAGAAACCATGCTAACCCATCAAATTAGCAAAGATTAATGGGAAAAGAGTCCTAAAGCAGGCAAGGGTGCGGTTAGTGAGATGGGACACACACACATCCTACTGGTGGTCGTAAATGTAGAATTTTTCTGAAAGCCATTTGGCAACCTATACTCAAGAGTCTTAAAAAGGTTCACATTATTTGACACAGTAATTCCACTTCCAGGAATTTGTTCTTTTAAAAAAAAGTTGCAAGAAAAATATGCACAGAATTGTTCGTAACTGCAATGTTTATCACATAGAAAGGTTGGAAACTTAAAAGCCCAACAACAGGAAAATGTTTAAATTATGTCATATGCACACAATGAAATACAACCATTAAAAATTGTCCTGAAGAATTTCTTAGTAAGGTGAAAATGTTTACAATGTAAAATTTGGGTGGAAAAAATGGGTGCAAAAATCTGTACAATACAGTATGGTCCTAATTAAGTGACGCATATGCATAGAAAATAACCACATCAACAAGTTTAACAAATGATTATCTGTGAGTGGTGGAATTATGAGTTATATTTATTTTCTTCTTTATGCTTACTTGCATTTTAAAAACTGTCTACAATGCATATCCATTACTTTTATAATCGAGGAAATGGAAAGCAACAGAAGTCTATGAAAACCTGTAATAGCCTCTATACCCCACCCACTTAATACTCTTCTATGTTTCAACCCCAGACTAAATTGGTTTGGGGGCCTTTAAGAATTTTAAGGCTGCTGGGCTCTCAACAATGAATAATAAAATAAATTTTTTAAAAAATTTAAATATCAAGGACCAGGTAAACCAAGCAGAATGTCATCTATATTGTGCTTGCACTAAATCTGCTTTAGTGCACAAATTCTGTTGTGTCTGACTCTGTGACGCCATGAACTATAGCCCGCCAGGCTCCTCTGTCCATGGAATTCTCCAGGCAAGAATACTGGAGTGGAAAAAAAAAAAAAGAATACTGGAGTGGGTTGCCATGCCCTTCCTCAGGGGATCTTCCCAACTCACGGATCAAACCCATGTCTCCTATCTCCTGCATCGGCAGGTGGGTTCTTGACCACTTAGCGCCACCTGGGAAGTCCCTAGGAAGTCATCTATATTGATACAATGCAAATTTTGACATAGCTTTATGGGGAGGTATCTTGCATTGGACCAGGTCTTTTTAGGACTCCCCCTTAATCCAGACCTACCTACCTAACCAGCCTGTAGGTGGCAAGGCAAACCAGTTTACTAGTCCCTCCCTAGTCCTATCTACAGCACATCCTTCACCCTGTAATCTTCCCTATTTCTAGGCCTTTTGGTATGTTGTCCCTGCTAGGAAGCCTGCACTGATTACAGTTAAGCAGCATTCTCCCCACCTACACATTATCAGCAAGAATCTTAGTAGGATTTCACTGTCTATCTAGAACAGTTTGGGAAATGAAGGTGTGAGTCATTCTCTCCAACCTCTAGCTATTTTCATTTTGGGGACTAAATGTTGTCTTTGAGCCTCTGAGATCTTCCTTAGCTTGAAACAAGCTTCCTTACCTCCTAGCCTGTAACCAAGATGGTTTCTTGAATGGCTCTCCCTGAGCCCCAGGCCTCATTGACAATGCACTCATCTCTGAAGAACTGCTTCTCTTATCTTCTTGCCTGATGCTCACTTGTGATGTCAGCCTCCTACCGAGGCCAGACCACTCTCAGCAGATGGTAGGCCTGGGAGAGAACACCGGCAGCCTCAAGATATCACTGGCCATGACGCTTTCCCAAACCATACCTTATGCCTAGATCCTTCTAGAATCAAGCTGTTCAGCTCTTTTTCTCAGCTTCTACCAGAAGCCAGCCCCCCACCCAGCTACCCAGCATTATGGCAACATGCAGCAGTATCCAACCATATTTGTTTGTAAGTCTTCAATAAGCTTTAGCCAAACCTTTGTCATTCAAGGCCCTTCACTGGCTAGCCTCACTTTTCCTTGTTTTCATCTCCCAGCCCTTCCCTCCGTGCACTTTTCACTTTTACTCCAGTCCCATCACATCAGACTTGCCAGTCTTCTCCAAGCACACTTTGTACCTCATGCCTCCATGCTTTTTCTCATGCTCTTTTCTCTCCTTCAATGCCTATTCTCCATTTCTGTAGTTCTGCTTTTCTGTTGAAAGTCTGTTTATTTTATAATTTTTCTCCCTTCTTCTACTATGGAATTTATCCATCTGCCAGTGAGATGTGTGTATAATTGTCTTTCCTACCAGGAGTCGAGGCTAGGTTTTAAACAGCTCTGAATTCTCCAGCACTAGCTAAACCATTCCTTTAACTATGTTGTTTCTCTGTGAATTTACACCATCTCTTCCTTCGGACTGTAAGGTCCTGAAGGAAGTTCCTCCTTCTTCATGGCCCTGCCCCCAAACTCCAGCTGGGTGATAAGGCTTTACCCACAATCCCTACCACTGAGTATAAGACAGATTTTGAGATTTCCTCTTAACTCAGAAGGCAGGACTTAGGTGGAAAATGGTGATTTTTTTTCTTTCATTCAGTATAATTTGGTTATGCAAACATTCAAACAGCTAAAAAAGACAAAAATTTTGTTTCAGTTATAAGGGCTATGAACTAGGACACCTGAGCTCTGACTGATTCTAACTTGTTTATTAACCTGAGGATCACCTTTCCAAGCTTCAGTTCACTACCTCTAAAATGGGAATAGCACCTATATGCTTTACTGACTCCATCAGGGCACTAAACCTAAATGCAATAATAAAGGAGAACAGCCACAGGAAAGGCACAGGAGCTGAAGACAGGAGACAGGAGGCATCATGGTGGTCCATGCACAGTAGCAGGTCTACACAATTAAGAGGGCAGGCGAGGGCCAGGAGTTCCCATACTCAGGTTAGTAATGGAAACCAGGAGCCCAGCAAGCTAGGAAACAAGCAGAAGCAGCACAGAAGTTTGTAGAGGTGGTAGATGAGAAAGAAAGTGAAAGTGTTAAATCACCCAGTCATGTCTGACCCTTTGCAACCCCACAGACTGTAGCCCCCAGGCTCCTCTGTCCATGGGATTTTCCAGGCAAGAATCCTGGTGTGGGTAGCCTTTCCCTTCTCCAGGGGATTTCCCCAACCCAAGGATTGAACCCAGATATCCTGCATTGCAGCCAGATTCTTTACCGTCTGAGCCACCAGGGAAATCCGGATGAAAAAGGAACAAGCACAAATATTTTCCCCACTTGTGAAAAACCTGTTAGTGGTTCCTTTAATACAAGTGTGGCTGTTATTGAGCTCATGCATTTGCCTGTCTTTTTTGCCCAACATTCTTTCAGTGGCTGCTTTTATGGGGCAGTGGAAAAAAGATCACCTGTTTACTAAGCTATATGACCTTGAGCAAGTTATTGATACTTAACCCTGAAGTCGCAGTTTTCTGGTCTGTAATTTGGGGACAAGAGCACTTACCTTGGAGTTAGCGTTGAGTTAACTGAGATGAACCATATAAACTGTCTAGCCCAGTTCCCAGCAGTCCCGTGCTGCAGCACAGCTCTGCCCTGGGTATACCTTGCTGATATTGTGGGTAGGTTAGGCAGGGCTGGTGAGGTATAATTACTGAAACTTTATAGCCAAGATTCCAAGCCGGTCAATTTCAAAGACTCTCCTGTTTTCCCTCAGTAAGCACTTGCCAATTTCTGATTGGGAAAAGATGATCACTGTGGAAAGCACCTTGGCGGCTGCCTTTTTCTTCATCAGCCCTGAGAGTCTGGGCCCCAGGCCCAGGGCTTCTCAGCCGGATACCCAGATATGCAGGCCAGAAGCAGGAGAAAGGAAGATGATGATTAGGGATGGCTTAGAGTACCTGGCAGGCAAGGAGACTTAGGTTCTACCTCCCACTTTCTCAGTCTACCTGGCCACTGCTTCACAGTTCCACTGTAAGAGGAATAAGCAAGTTAAATCCTTCAAGGTCAGTGGCTCTCCACATTGGCTATATGTTAGAATCACCTGGGAAATTTTTAAACTCTTCATGCCTGGACTGCACTCTAGACTCATTAAATCAGTGTTTTTTTAAAAGGCTTTCTGGGTAAATTCCAATCTACAACAAAAGCTGAGACCACTGTTCTAGATCAGGATTCTTCAAACTCTGTTAATTTAGAATACAGTTTCTCAGGCTCTGGGATTGGCATTACTACTGAAACACAGGGCTTCCCTGGTGGCTCAGTGGTAAAGAACCCCCTCTGCCAATGCAGGAGATGCGAGTTCAATCCCGGGATCAGGAAGATCTGCTGGAGAAGGAAATGGCAACCCACTCCAGTATTCTTGCCTGGGAATTGCAAGGAGAGAGGAGCCGGCGGGCTACAGTCCATGGGGACGCAAGAGAGTCAGACACAACTTAGCAACTAAACAATAACAACAACTGGAACTTATTGATTCAAAAACACACTCTTTTTAAAGCATGTATGTATTAACATCTTGGAAATCAGAATGATCTTCCATCAGTGCCATCTAAGACTTGATGAAATACAGAAACAAGCATCTCAGGTAATTCTTATGATTTAGTCAGTCTGAGGGGGGAAAAAAAGGGTTCTCTAGTACACCCTAGGGCAGCTTTCCAATTTTTAGTATCCTTAGAGTCACCTGTGATCCTGTTAAAATTCAAGTTCTGAATCTGAAGGTCTGTGCCAAGCCCTAAGATTCTGCATTTCTAAGCTCCCAGGTGATGTGTGTGGGGCCGTGCACACTTTGGGTAGCGATATTTTACACTATGTCCCTCTGAAGAGCTTCCACAGCAACTCATTTAAGTAAACTTAAATAACTGGCCTAGAGAAAGATGACCAATGGAGAGTCTTCAATATGTCTGTGAGGCAACTTTAGGATGCTGCACTCTCATTTCTCCCTGGGAAGGGGCAGCTGGGATGAGAGCCAGAGGAAGAGTTGCCCCAAAATTTGAGGAGCCAGAGGCTAGAGCCCAGTTTCCAAAGAAGCACTTTGTTATGTGAGGCAACACAAACCCCCCACAATAAACACGAAGTTCACAGGCCAAGTGAAGATAGGCCTCAGGTGAGCTTAATGGGTAAGCAGCCCCATTCTTGGGCTTCCCTCATAGCTCAGTTGGTAAAGAATCTGCCTGCAATGCAGGAGACCCTGGTTCGATTCCTGGGTTGGGAAGATCTGCTGGAGAAGGAAATGGCAACCCACTCCAATATTCTTGCCTGGAGAATCCGGTGGACAGAGGACCCTGTCAGGCTACAGTCCATGAGGTCGCAAGAGTCAGACACAATTTAGCAACTAAACCACCACCAGCCCCATTCTTTCTACCATATACTCATTTTCCTTCCTTCTTTCATCCATCAAACCTTCACGGAGGATCCACAAATAAACCACAAGATCTGAAGGATTCAAAGATGAATCAGATTTGGTAACTGACCTCCAAGGGGAGGAATTCGGTCTGGGGAAACCCATTTGTAAAACCGATAATAACAAAGTGATTAAGTGGTAATAACAGGAGGATATAAAGAGATGCGCCAACATAAAGGAACACTAATAGCTTCCTAGTGCAGCAGCCACTGGAGGAACTAGAGGGAACATTTCTAATTGTTCCAAAAATGGGCAAACCCTAAACAAAGATTCCCTGCCAGGAACCAGCCTGCCATGATGGAAGCAGTGCTTTGATGCCTTGAAGCCATGAATTCTGGAGTCACAACATGGGGAGAGCTTCCTCTGCACCTCTAATCTCTAGCTCTATACAAGTGCATCTAGGAAGAGACTTTTAGGAGATCAGCCCCTCCAAAGTATGGGGCCAACCATTATCTTACTCCAGACAGTTCCAGTATCTGCATCCTAACCTCCTGTGTCAGAATCCAGCACATCATTTCCCTAGTTCCGGAAACGCTTGAGTCTTTGCCCTTTGTCATACTGAGCTCTTAATTGGTTTAGCCCATCACACTGCTAGATATAAAGGTTACAATCCCTACACTTAAGTAGGTCTGCAGCTGGGGTAGGGAGTCTCAGGCAAGACAGGCAGGGTGCAACAACATAGCACCTGCTCTCTCACCCAGCTCCCTATAGACTGGCTTTTTAGGAGGACTAAGAAACTGATACTCGATCCCAATTTATTTTTCCTTATCTTCCCATCTCTCAGATAGGAAACCCTGGAGGAGAAGCTTAAGGGCTGGAGGAGGCTGCCAAGGAGGAGACGGATGAAAGATGGGGAGTGGAGCCAGTGCTGAGGACAAAGAATTGGCCAAGAGGTCCAAAGAGCTAGAAAAGAAGCTGCAGGAGGATGCTGACAAGGAAGCCAAGACCGTCAAGCTGCTATTGCTGGGTGAGCGAGATGGGACGATGAGCCAGAGGAGAAGGTACTGCTCCTTCCCGCTTATCCTGGATGGTAGGTGGGTTCTAGCCTGCCATGTGGGGAGGAGGGATGGAAGGTTATTTGTCCTTGCCCCATGCAGTCTCAGGCTAGGGGATCAGGAGCTCTAGGGCTGAGCACAGCCACCCCAAGATGTTCTAGCAAAGTTACTCTGGAATCGTTTTGCTCTTCCTTGAACCAGGAACAGTGAAAGGGCCAGGGTGGACCCACACATCTCCAAATCTACCAAACCTAACACCTAACAGCTTAGCAACTACCATAAGCTCTGGGCTCGCAGACACTTAACTAAGTCTGCAGTCAGAGAACTCTTTGAGTCAATGAATTCAAGAGGATAGAGAAGTCCTACCATATAGTCAGTGTCATGTAGACTTAGGAGTATGATTTTTACCAGTTCCTTCTCCTTGCTTTCAGTAAAAAAAAAAAAAAAAAGAAATCTTTAAAAACATTAGAAGTGGGGAGCCCTGTGTAGGAAGGAATGGAGTCTTTACAGAAGTCCTTTCCTGGCTTTCTATTCAGTGACTGCCTGTAAAGCCCCTGCCAGATGGGAGGCTCATCAGCTTGATGAGCTCCTAAGCAGATCACAGGTTTGTGCTGAAAAAAGAAATCACCTCAGTCAGTCAGAAACTGATCTTGGCTGTAAATAGAACTAAGACAATAGAGTTTGGGAAACCTGGCCTAGAAAAAACCCCAGTGGTAGTACAGAGGTAGGCAAGCTGGAGCAGCTAAGATCTTTATAGTAGAAGACTGGCTGGCTGGGCTGGGCGTCCAAAGCCATGAGGTGCCTGGGAACTAGAGCCCCAAGCTAAAGCACCTCCTTTTCCTCAGCTGATCTGTGGCAGAGCACACACCTCTCTAAGCAGACGCCAGGAAGCTACCAAGGGGAGAGAGACAGCAAGGCCACTGAGCGAGCTTTTAAGCCTAAGCAGCTTTCTCCTACATTCCGGATTAGTAGCTTAGAGGAACCAAGTGCAGGATAAGTGGTGGAGTGGGGATTGGGGGGGGGGGGGGGCGGGATTAAGGCATCAGGGACAGTATAGACTAGGGGAGAGGGTTGAGGGTATGCAGGTTTTTGATTGAGGGAGAGTGAAGTGTGAATGAGGATGTAAGAACATTTTGGTCAATAAGGGAAATAGCGGGGGCATGGGACAGCCCTCCACAGAAAACTTATCCACTCAAAATGTCAACAGTGCAGACACTAAGAAACTCTCCTCCAATTCCAGATCAAATGGCCTGAGCTCAAGGCTGGTGCAAACTGAGGTAGTCAGCATCCCTGTATGTTCTCCCCTAAAAAGGCTCCCAAGTGAGCAGTGGCTTAGACTTCTCACAGGCCATCTACTGGTGGGTTGGGGAGAACTGGTGGCAATCTGAAGCATAAGCATTTCTCCCTGCAGGTGCTGGGGAGTCAGGAAAGAGCACTATCGTCAAACAGATGAAGTGAGTAGGAACAAAGCCCCACAGGACTGAGGTAGGGTGAAGAAGTCAGTGGAGTCAGTAGAGGCCGAGGATAAAGGGCTCTTTAGCCTTTAGAAACCCAGGTGTAAAGAATATAAAGGACCTTATTCCCAATGTCCTTATTCTTCATGCCCCGTGTCCCTCACTCTCCACTCTGGGACAGCAGTATGAATAGAGAGATTGGGTTCTTACAATCCTTTAAATCCTCCCCAATTCCCAATCCCTTAGGTCTGGTTACTCAGGTCCAACTAATGGCTGGGTGTCTTCTCCTTGCAGGATCATTCACCAGGATGGCTATTCGCCAGAAGAATGCCTGGAGTACAAGGCCATCATCTATGGCAATGTGCTGCAATCCATCTTGGCTATCATCCGGGCCATGCCCACACTGGGCATTGACTATGCTGAAGCGAGCTGTGTGGTATGTGGTTAATGGTATAAGGTTAGGGGTGGAAGGAAAGGCTAATAAGGAGAAGAAACAGGCCAGTGGCCAACAAGCTATGAGGAAACATGCATCAGAAAAAGGTTTATGTCACAAAAATCCCACTTGAAAAACATGAAAGTGTTAGTGCCTCAGTCATGACCAACTCTTTGCAACCCCATCAGGCTTCTCTCTCCATGGGATTTTCCAGGCAAGAATACTGTAGTGGGTTGCTATTCCCTTCTCCAGATCTTCCCAACCCAGGGACTAAACCTCAGTATCCTGCGTTGGCAGGCAGATTCTTTACTATCTGAGCCACTAGGGAAGCTCATTTGTTGAGCTTCAAATCTTTACTTCAGTCCTAGCAAAGCATGCAGTTCTTATCTTAGTAAGTGTTCATTTAAAAATCTGCTCTCAGCTTCCTCTGCCTGTTTGTCTTATTTTACCATTTAAATTGCTCCCCTCAGGTTCCCTGCCTTGAGTGTGGAACTTTCATAAGCTAAATCCCTAGTTCCAGTATTATCCTTTTCCTAGATTTGAATAACTGAAGAAACAAAGGGGTTGAGTTCCTGTCTACCATCTTGTCCACTTCATGGTCAGTCTGGCCTTTAAACAAATCTCCCTGTAGCAGAGGACCCACATTTCCTGGCAGGACCCCCACATTTGGACTAAGGATGGAAGATGAAAACACCACAGAGGAAGCCCCTGGGATCTCTGCTATCCACCAGACATCCCAGGGCTGGATGTACTGCCACCCTCCACATGCAGAAGCACCCTCAGAAACTAATCAGTGTGTTTACTTAGAATATTTGTCGAACACCGCCTCCACCTGAGGCTTTGATAGAATGCAAAATGCTTTCCTTTCAGAATACCCAAAAGCCTCCTGGAAAGTCATTACTCCCATGTAATTCTAATCCTGGTTTCTGCCTTACAGGATGATGGGCGACAGCTCAACAACCTGGCTGACTCCATTGAAGAGGGCACTATGCCTCCTGAGCTAGTGGAGGTTATCAGGAAGTTGTGGAAGGATGGTGGGGTGCAAGCCTGCTTTGACAGAGCTGCAGAGTACCAGCTCAATGACTCGGCATCTTAGTAAGACTGACTGGGGGCAGGATGGGATGAGGTGTCAGCAACATTCTGGGAGAAATCTCAGCCAGTTGAAATTTTCTGACCCTGAAAAATGGAGATCCAAGGACTGAATTCAGTCTGTATACCTGTCTTGTTAGGCTTTAAACAGTGTTTTACTATGCTCTGAATTTAATGCCTTTGAGACCTCTGCCCCAGTTCCCTTCACTCTGTATTACTTAACATTGGTCCAGGGCAGCCTACAAAGCTAAGACTCAAAATCCAAAACAGAGATGCTCTGTTAACAGCCCTCAGTCCGTCTTTAGTCAAACACAGAGCCTCTTCTTTCAGAATCATAAATACTAATACAGCCCTGCAGTTCTGCCACATACTCCTTTAGGAGGCATGATTCATGATGCCTCTTTCAGTGCAACACAGGCTCTACTTAAGTCACTAACCTAAACTCTCCTTCACCCCTAGTATCTTATGTCAATGTGCCAGGGCAAAGGACATAAACTGCCATGGCAAACCAAAGGTCAGGGGTTAGAGAGCACCAACTTTGCAAAGATGCTTTCCGAAATATAAGGTACACAGAGCATCAATCCTACTCAGCACAGTCTCACAGATGGGCATAAGCTTCAGCATCAAAAAGACCCGGATTTAGCCATTGTTCTATCACCTCCTCTAATAATAAAGTTCTCATTTACTGTCCCTGCAGCCCCCACTTGGGCCTAAACACTGCTCAGTGCATTAGGTACATCTCCTCATTTAATCTGCACAATATGTCTTCATGGTAGGTAGTAGTTTTTATCAGTCCCATTTATAGAGGAAAAAAAGAGGTTCAGAGAAATAAATTAACTTACCCAAAGTCACACAGATAAATGGCAGAGACTAGGATTTAAATCTAGGTCTATCTGACCACTGAGTTGAAGGTTTTTTATAATACACCCACAATGCCTCTTGTCCTGGACCAGTTATTTAACTTTTCTGGATCTTCCCTTCATCTGTAAAATGGGATATGAAACCTGAAGGTTTATGAGGTTAAATGAGAACTTAAATGTGACAAGCCCTGGCATATATTTAATTTACTTTTCTTCTTTCTGTCATCTCACTTCATATCTGCCATTTTTCTTTTTAACTTTTAATGGTAACTGTCAAACATATACAAAAGAAGAATACAATCAATCACTTGGCTTCAGCAGTCACCAACTGATGCCGAATCGTTTCATTTTAAATCCATTCCCCACTGGATTATTTAGAAGTAAACTCAGATATACCATTTCATCCTAAAAATTTCATTATTTCTAAAAATATATTCCTAAAAAAAGAAAATCACATCATTATCACACCTTAAGTATTTAGTAAACCCTTAATGTTATCAAATATCCAAGTCAGCGTTCATTCAACTTTCTTCAGTTATCTCGAATGTTTTCCCTTCTACTTGATATACAATGTCTATGCATTGCACTGGTTCATGTCTCATATGTTTCTGAAATCCCTTTTAATCTACTCCTGCTTCCTGACAGAACTTTTGACACCCATTTAAACCAGAGGTTCCCAAGGACCAGTTTCACGGAAGATAATTTTTCCATAGACCCAGGGCACAGGGGGGAGATGATTTCAGGATTATTCAAGTGCATTACATTTATTGTGTACTTTATTTCTATAATTATTACACCAGCTCCACCTCAGATCATCAGGCATTAGATCCCAGAGGTTGGTGACCCTTGATTTAAACCACCAAGTCTCATTCAAGAGTCTAGGGGGAAAAAAAGAGTCTAGAAAACTTTGTAGTCAGGTGAAACATATGGAAAAGTTATCTGACAACCTAACTTCCTTTTGTAAGGATACATGAGAAGGGTTTGAAGGAAACACTCCTAGATTCAACAACACAAATTCTCACGCTGGTTTGATCACCATATTACAGTTATATGCCTTTGGGTAACACCCTTCACCCTTCTTGACTTCAGCTGTGGAAAATTTAATATCAATTGAATTGACAATCCCTTTTCTCCAGCTACCTGAATCAATTAGACCGAATTACAGCCCCTGACTACCTCCCTAATGAGCAAGATGTGCTTCGATCCAGAGTCAAAACCACAGGCATCATTGAGACTAAGTTTTCTGTCAAGGACTTAAACTTCAGGTGAGTACACTGTTCCCTCAGAACATGTCAGATACCCCAAAGGGGGGCAGAGGAATGTTTCTTGGCCTTCACTAAAGCCCAGTCTGAACTACTACTACTTCCCTACTTCCCCCACCTCTCCTCTCCACTTCCCACCTTACTGCTAACTGGCCCCAAGATGGCCATCTCTCTGGGGTAAACACCAAGTGCATGTGGGTCATACGTTGGGTTATACATTTAAGAACAGGTGTTTTTTTCTCTCAGGATGTTTGATGTGGGAGGGCAGAGATCAGAGAGAAAGAAGTGGATCCACTGCTTTGAGGGAGTCACCTGCATCATTTTCTGTGCAGCCCTCAGCGCCTATGATATGGTGCTGGTGGAAGATGACGAAGTGGTGAGTGACTTTTGCACCAGCAAAAGATAGATAGATCTTTTGCACCAGGCAAAAGATAGACAGATAGACTGATTGACAGATAGATCCCCCATGACCCGTCCTCTAAACTTTGTGTCACTCCAATGGCCCAACCTGAGTGATCTCTGCTAACACTAATAGTCAAGCAGTCTTCTAGCAATCAATGTCTCAGGCAAATAATTCCAGAAATACCTCTTCTTCTGCAGGTTCTAGGTTAGCACTTTAGGGCTCCAGATTTACTGAGAGCTTGGTCTCAGATGAGACATCCAAGTACTACTTGGGACATCAAAAAGTTCATCAAAGAAACTGAGTATTAAATAGATAAGTGACCATTAACTTGGCAAAGCAAGAGTTACTTAGTACTCTCCCAGGCTGCCTATGGAAGTAAAGCAGATGAAAACGACCAAGCAGAACAATGCATGATGCGCATCTTGATGCAACGTGATAGAAGGGCTGAATTAGTAAACTCACTTGGAAGCCTAAATATATACTCAGTGTCAACAGGACTCCAGAGAGACTGGCAAATCAGGTTTCTCACATGCCACTTAAATTGGCAGCTGGAGAACTACCTCAGGGTGGTTCTCTTGAGCCTATAGAGTTTTACAAGACAGAAGCTCTGTAGGATAATGTCAGTCCATCCAGGTAGCATCCAAGTTTTAGACAGAGGATGTCAAAGGCATGGAAAACCCCAAATTCACATAAACATTTGCTCCACAAATGGATGCCCACAGTTAACTGACAGAAGGCAAAGCTTCTATCCTTCGACCCCCTGCTCCAGTTCTGCCTTCTCCTTAGTACCTCAGGTTCACACTCTGAATATCCTCTAGCCAAAATGTCTTAGAGAGCCATTCATTTTCCAAGAACTCTTCTGTCCTTCTTAACCTTAAAGTTTACAAGGTCTTAAAGGATTTTGTAGGAGTGTTAGTAATGAGCAAATGTTACAAATTAAATTTGTTTTATCAGGTGAAAAGATTGAGCCCAAGTCAGCTAAGAGCACATTCCAAGACCCTAAAGGCCTGCTCCCTAAAAAAAGGCTACTTTGGGGTCACTGGGTAACCTCTGGACTCCACACAATTATAGCACTACTTCTCACTCATTCCAAGTGGCAATCAGAAAAGGAAATAAGGCAGAAGTGCTTGTGCTGTGGCACTGGAAAATTTTTTAGCCCTTGCCATTTGGCACCAGGGTCAAATAATCCCTATTTTGTTCCTACCCAAACTGAGATCTAGGACTGTCTAACAGAAACCTATCAAAATCATCCTGGAGATGGAAGTGGACACATGTTAACTGGCACCCAGTTTCAACCCTGAATTCCTTACCTGTGCCCTGGCTGCCAAAGATTTCCAAAACATTTATTGTACACCTATATGCCAGCTACTAACATGGACACTTAGAGAAGGAAATGGCAAGCCACTCCAGTATTCTTACCTGGGAAATCCCATGGACAGAGGCACCTGGAGGGCTACAGTCAATTGGGTTGCAGAGAGTCGGACATGACTTAGTGACTAAACAACAACATCATCATGGACACAACAAACACGTGATCTCATTTAACTTCCTTAATAATCCTATGAAATAGGGAAACAGACTCAGAAAAGCTCAGTAATTTCCTCCAAATCATACAGCTGATATAAAGATCAGAAGGAAGTCAGATCTCTTTGGCTCTACTCTACCACACTAAACAGAGATAAGCTGTTCCCTATTCTTCCTTTTACATTTGGAATGCAGGTCTCTTCAAGGGGAGCAACAACAGGAAGCAAACAGGTATACCATAAGCCCAATCTGATATTTCTGACGGTATTTCCTCTCACTAGAATCGTATGCATGAGTCACTGCACCTGTTCAACAGCATATGTAACCACAAGTTCTTTGCGGCCACTTCCATTGTCCTCTTTCTCAACAAGAAGGATCTCTTTGAGGAAAAAATCAAGAAAGTCCATCTCAGCATTTGTTTTCCAGAGTATGATGGTAAGTTCCAAAGGCTAGAGACAATTCTTTCATAGTAATGATGGGCAATTGCCTCATTTCCTATACCAAGAAGTTCCTATACTAAGGAACTTGTCTTTAAGGAGTAGTAAATTTAACTTTTTGCTTTGCTGAGTTGATGATCCCTTATCTCTTTAATACTGTCTTATGAGTATGATGTCCAAGAGATATTTGGATGTCTAACCTGAGAAACTTGAGTATTCAGTTAAAGGTTTAAATTCAGATATCTCTGGAACAGAGCAGACATTAAATGCAGGTGAGCCACTGATTATTCAAATGATACCTGCCAGAAATTAAAGGTGTCTAAGGAGACAGAGACACCTCTCTCCTCAATTCCTCTGCTCAAGTGTGAAACACTGGAGTGCAACAGAGGAGAGGACCCAACCTCCAAAACTAAACCCCCAACCACAGCTGTCTAACATATTTTGAGGATCATATCAGTCACTTAAAAAGTAAGTGAGCAACTAAGAAGGCCTAATTTATCCCACTTCTTCACTATTTTTCTGGAAAACCAGGGAACAACTCTTATGAGGATGCAGGGAATTATATCAAGAGTCAGTTCCTTGACCTCAACATGAGAAAAGATGTCAAAGAAATCTACAGTCACATGACCTGTGCTACAGATACACAGAATGTCAAATTTGTATTTGATGCAGTTACAGACATTATCATCAAAGAAAACCTCAAGGACTGCGGACTCTTCTAGTTCTCACCATTCCTCAAGTATGTTCTGTAAACAGGCTCTGAATCTCAGTAATTTTAAGCAGAAAATTTTAGGTCAATATATTATGACAAGAAGAATGAATCCATTCTCCCTTGGAGATGGAGTACGTATGATTGCAACTGTGTCTAAATTTGTTCTTTTAAAAGCAGGATAGCTAGCGCAGTTTAGAGAATGCAAGACCAGGAATCAGAAGACCCAGGATCCATTACTGGCTCTGCAACTTTCTACTGATGCAGAAATGTAAATATTTCATTTCTCTGACCCTTGAGTCCCTCATCTATAAAATGAAGGTAACTTCTCTACTACTTCACAGGTTATTCTAATGATCACAAACATAACTGAAGGGAGGCATATAAAAGCTGTGTGGTGACACAAAGAAATTCTACATAAAAGCTCCCACTAATGAAATTCAACATCAAGGTTTAGATGAATTATCCCAAAAAAGCAAACCTTCCCTGCAATCTGCAAAAAAAACCTAAATTAGTTAAAAACAGAATTTCAATAAACTTACCACCCTTTTTTACTATAAGACCTTTAAGTGCCTTAGCTAAGAGATCTGAATCATCAGACAGATGTGAGTTTGTGAGCTCTAAGGCACACATCCAGTTTTTTGGTGGTGTTTTTTTTGGCCATATGGCTTGCCTTGCAGGATCTTAGTTCCGAAAACAGGGACTGAACCCAGGCCCTGGTTAGAGTCCTAACCACCGGACTGCAAGGGAGTTCCCCAAAATGATTTTCGTTAAATCATATTACCCCTCTGCTCCCAAACTGCCAGACTGTGTTCCCTATATCTCTGTAAGTATAGGGATACTTATCCCTCTAAGTAACTCTGTCAGCTATATAAGACACTTTCTGAATGAACCTGGAGGACAGAACACACTCCCACTTAGAGTATTAATGATTGTATTGCTGCTACTTCTCTGTCACAGAATTTAGAACAAATGAGCAATCCTAAAATCCTCATTTCAACTGCTACATGTTTCAGAACAAAAAAAAGGCAGCTATTTTGCTTTAGGCACTGAAAATCTTTGCAGTTGGATCCATGTGATGCCTGGCTGAAAACAACATCTCCCCAAACAGGCCAACAATTAAATTATCCCTTGAACTTCTTTGAGGAGAAACAAAGCTTGTATTTATCTTGACAGGAGGTGGTGAAGTTGAGTATAGATTTAGCATTTACAACTACTAGTGAGGAAAGCTCTTGGCATCCAAGATTTAGTATATAAAAGAAAGTGTCAATTAAAATGAAAATCTGCTCCTTGCCAGAAAAACACATTCACACTTAGGCTACTACTAGCAATATTGATACTAGAGAGCCATATGAGCTTGAAATACACTGAAGAATAAATTTGCAGGTGTTAAAATTGGATTCATTTAATAGTCTTTCTGATTCTTTGAAAAGAAACCAACTTGGGAAAATTACCAGGGAAATAAGGAAAACTACTGTCTAGTGCCAATTAAAAAACTTAAACCGAAGGAAAAAAATCTGGGCAAGATCTCTTGTATCCAAGCACTGTTCAGGGACTATTCCAAAGGGCATGCTCTAATGCTCACTAACCTCTTTGCTTTAACTCAACTTATAGGGGTTCCGAGGTGTTTTTTTTTTCTTTTGGTATCATAAAACCCTCTAGCAGTCTGATGAAGCCTATGGATCTCTTTCTCAGGATACTTTAAAATGCATAAAACAAAATTCAGAGAGCTACAAAGGAAACCAACATACTGAACCAACAACAGTTGTATTTTTGGAGTTCTGAAGCCCCAGGTTAAGAATTTTGCTACAGCTATGATCTTACCTATTCAAGGCCCAAATGTAGTTTTTCCCATTTATTCCACCTTTAAGAAGGGTAACCCCACCTACCCACAAATCACACCAAATTTTCTGCTTTCCTAAATTATCTTTTCCTCCATCTTTGACTCTAGGCAGGAATTGGTTATAGGCCAAATTATAGAAGCCCAACACAGACTCCTTGGTTATTAATGTTCATATAGAACTTGCCCTACAGTACTAGCATGAAAACAGAGTCAGTGGGACAGGTCTTATGGTAGAACAATCTCTAGGAGAATAAAACACAGTTATATTTTTGTTTTCTTTTGCTCTGGTAGACACCTCAACTTTTAACTGGTTTATAAACAAACTTTCACAAGCCAAAAGATGCCCTATATTCACTTTGCTGAAAGGTTATCTTGGAGGCTGAATAGGGAAGTAGCAGTACTTAAAAGCAACACTTCTACAGCCGCTTTTCTCAGGTTAGATTCTGGTTATTCATCTTATAATGCTTTCAAGCCAAAACTCTTCTGGAGAGTGTACACAGAATAAAAATTGGGGGCCTTGGTCATCCACTCACCTGTTCCTTAGGACAAAGTCAAAATAATTTCCTAAAACTCTTAGCAAACACTAGGCTCTTCTCTGAGTAAAGGTAAGAGGATTTGACTTCAAATGTTTTGGGTAGGCTTCCAAAAAACGTATTAATCCTTACCACAGCTTAATTGTTTGTCAGACCCAGAGATGACTCCTAAACCTTACACTATTGGAAACAACTACATTGGTATTTCTTCTATCCTACTGGCTTATTTTTATCTCATGGACATTTTGATTGTGTCCATGAAAAGTTCTCTTTGCATAAAACAGCTGCTAGAAAGTTTAAAACCAAAATTATGCCATATACTCACTCTGCTGTCTATATGTCTTCTTTTGCTCCATTTTAAATTTATATTATACTGTTGAATTTTATGTCATCACAAATTCTTTTCTGTAACAAGACAGGTTAGAAACTAATACTCGACCCTGTTTTCATATACTGCAACCTTAATGCTTAGGATGATAAAGCTAGAAGAAACTCAAAAAATCCCATGTCCATCACTAGCAATTTATAGATAAGCAACTGAGCCCAAGGGAGGTGGAGTGTCTTCATCAAGATCACACCGCTGGGAAGTAACAGAACTTAAACTCCAAAATAGGTCTTCTGAATCCAAAGCCAGTGGTTTTTCTATCTGCACAATACCAACAGTCCACCAATCACCATAAAGTCAAAGTCAATCTTCTCATTCGCCTAAGCTCCTTCTAGTCCCAAACAAGTCCTTGGTTATTTTTAAATTATGCCAACTCTAAATCATAGCTATTTAACAAAACCATCTCCAAACTAAATACAAACTGGCCTCAAAATGGATGTGATATTAGCACAGAATAATAAAAATATAAATAGCTTTGTTTGCTGAAGGTATAATTTCCTGTTCTTATCTCAGAGGGCAGAGACCATGTTTTCCTTGAATTGCATGATTAGACATTGATCAAAGTAAGCCAAATGTAAATTAAGTTCCATTTCATATCAATCTGATGACAGTTGCTTTTTTTCTTACAAAAATATGACACATAAGGACAAACAGTATGATTTCACTTATATCAAGAATCTAAAGTAGTGAAATTTATAAAGACAGAAAGTAGAACGGAAGTAAGGAGTTATTATTTAATGGGTACAGTTTCAGTTTGGGAAGATGAAAAAAGTTCTGGAGATGGATGGTGGTGATATTGCATAAAAACGTGAATGTACCTAATACTACTGAACTACATACTTAAATATGTTAAAATGGCAAATTTTATGTTATGTATACTTTATTACAATAAAAAATAACAGAAAAAATATAACTGGAAATGTGCTTTTATGTTTGTCAATTAAAAGATGGATAAAATGAGCACAAAAATTCAGTATAAGAACCATATAAAAGACACATTTACTCAAAATAGTTCCTACTCTGATTTAAAAAAAAAAAAAAATCACATACATGTACCCCAAATAATCAAAATCTGTGTGGCCCCATCCCCAAGGTGAAAAATAAGAACCTTCAAAAAAAGCCACGCTACACTTGGAGATGTGCCGTAGACCGAAGTGTGCTGGCTCTGCTGGGTGGAGAAGGTGGTGAAGGGTGAAGAGCTCTTACCTCCCCCTGCCCTCTCTACCCGGCACAGCCCCCGGAGCACAGATTCCAGCAGGACTTCAGTGTTGGGCCAGGGACTGCAAGTGTGCCAGAGCCTCTGGCGACCCTGCTAGGCAGAAGTGTGAAGACATCTCTGTGAGGTCAAACAGATAAACTGCAGATTGTAGGAACTTTTCTGCCCTTTGGTCATGGAAAAGCAAACACCAGTTTGAACAGGAAATAAAGAACTGGATTTAAATGCAAAATCTTTACAGACCTTTTCACCCTGCTTCACAAAATAAAATTTGTAGTTGAATTTCTAGTAATTTAGTTCATTTTAGGTTTTTGAAATGAGTATGGCAAAAGTGATTATGAGAAAAGACAACCAGCAACAATGAACATTTGTAGGTATTGTCTCAAGACTTACTTTTTTTTTTTTTGGAGTAGAGTACAATTTCGAGTATCATAAAGAATATTTATGAAACATTTCTAATATGTTATTTCTATTTGATCGGAACTATAGTATATCAGAGCTGGAAGTACTTTAGTCTGTCTTTAGATGAGAGATATAAGACTGAAAGATTTCACAGCTAGCTGGAAGCAGGGAAAAGACCAGAACCCCGCACATCAAGCAACTTTCTAACCTCGTAAGAGGACGCTTCATCCTATATAAGCAAAGATGAACAGTTAGAAAAAACAGGTACTTTCTTATAATTTGTTATGTCCACTGGGATTCTCTCTTACATATAAACAAGCCTCTTGGTAAAAATGTTTGGATGACACATAGGAATATGGCCAGGGAGGGTGGGGGCAAGAAGATAGGATATCTTTACAACAAGACTGTACAGAATTTAATATTCCAGCTGTAAATGATCTTACAGCTAATGCTAACATATTAAGATGGTGTACCCCATAAGTATATTTACTAATATTTGATTATTTCTCCTACTATGTTGATTCCCACTAGATTTCAGGAAGGGAAAACATATACCACTGGGCATACAGAGATATATATTTAACTCCTCAATTATTCCCTTTACCTACCTCATCCCCAAAAGACTTTCATTCTATAGCTGGTTTTGTTCTTTATCTACCAACTGTAAATGGATATTCATGTTATTATAGTTACCTTTGTTATAGGACTTTATCTTTACTTTTGTGTATCTTTCCATTTTCACTGAAAATAAATGGAGTGAAATAAATGAAATATATGTTTAGAAAACCCAAGTTTCTTGTTTTGTCTAAATTTTGTATAAAAACTAAATAGTCTTATCCAAAATGCAGTAATGTTCTTTGGCTAAACAGTCCTCAAACTAACTTTTTGGGTGAAAGGCACTTTAAGTTATGTACAAAAGGTGCTTTGTACTTACTGCAAATAAAAAATAACTCAAGTCATTCACTAGTGATTTAGAGGTTGTTTACTATTCACGTTGATCTTTAATATAAGGTCTATTCAGTTGTCCCCAGGATGTTGGCCCAGGATAGTCGCATCAGAACCACCTGAGGAATTTATTTTAAAAATACATATTTTAAGGACTTGGTTTGGATATTTTAATTGAGTCGAGGTTAGCCAAAGAATTTCTATGTTAATCTTCCACCACAGGTATCTACTGCTGCATAATATTCCATATTATCTCTGATTCCTGAGACGACTTGAGTAAAGCCAGGCGCAGAACTGACACAGTATCAGAAAATAACTGTCCTGCCCTGATTTGTTCTAAAATATGCTCTCCTCAGCAGAACTAACTCATAAAAGGTTATGAGAAAACTGGAGGGTGAGTGGTGAGGGGGAATGGGGATTCAAAACCTAAACAAAGGTAAAGGAACAAGGATCCTGACCATCCTGGAAGTCTGTTCTTCAGTATGCCTCACTTAAATCTTTTACTTTCTGATAGTTGATAGTAAGAGGTATCTAAGTTCCAGATCTCTAAGCAGCTTGGTTTTCTTTTTTGTTTGGACAGTCATAAATTTATAAGGAGACCTGTGGCTGGTTCAGGTCAGGTCTCTGATTTGTACTGCGAAGACTAAACTGGAAGAAGAAAATTACCTGGTAGTACTGGGAAACTGAGATAATTTTATTCTTAAAGTCAGTATCACATATGAAAGATTTCACAGGAAATCAGTAAAAGGAATTAGTACTATTAATATTTTAGGTTTGTATCAGTGAGTACGGGGCCACTGTTTTTTGAACATCCAGAAGGAAAAAAAAAAATCATTCAAAGGCAGCTTTTTGATTGAGAGTCTAACTTCCCCTTGTATGTAACTGCCAATGCAGCAAGGAGCTCTGCAACAGGAAATGCCAGAACTATGCTAAGCAAATGGACAAATATAAAAAAGTAACTAGTCAGATCAGGTCATCAAGGTCCAAACAAAGTTATAGCCTACAGATCACAAAGAATGGCCACACATCAGTGGCCAGAATGTAAGAATATAAGGTGAGCAAATAAATTCAAAGAACCAGCAGTTATTTTTAAATACTCCAAAATGTGTATATAATAAAACACAAATAGAATACATAAGAGAATAAAAAATAAACCAGGCAAGGAAACAGATTTTTAAAATATGGTCCATCTTTCTTAGAAAGAAAGCACCTTGTGAAAAGTCACAACCCATCAGGTACAATGCACTGAACTAGAGGTCTAGAGTTCAAACCATCCAAGATGAAAATGACACTTCAAGATCCACTTATGAATAACTCTAACAGTTCTTAGAATTTTCATGCCAGAAGGTGAAATCTGTTGAAAGGATAAAATTGTAAGGTTATTTATTCCCTAAGACTGACCATTAAGGAGCAGAATACTTCCTCTTTACATAGGAGCCTAACAGATGGCAATTTTACAGCCCAGAGTTTTAATCAGGTGGCGAAGATGTGACTGTCAACAAAATAAAGCTGCTGTTACAGTCCTTCCTGCTAATGGCTATTTATTGTTATCTAATTTTTTAATTTTCTTAGATGTTTTTTAACGTTCTTAGATGTGCTAAGAAGCCTGGCCAACTAAATTCTGAAACATGATCCATCACAAATTTCCAGTATTCTCCACCAAAAAGACACAGGCAAGTTTTCATTTCTTTGATTACAAATATCAATCCTTTTTCTCCAGGCCACTAGATATGATGTGTCATCCCCACATTTTGGCTCTGCTATAAGAAAAGATCTTTTAGTTCAAAACACAATAGTGGTTTGTAAGGCAGACCATCAGATTCATCATATCAAAATTACCTTTTTAAAATTATAGACTGCTAGCCTGCCAGTCAAGAGTCAATCTCTGAGATGGATCCAGGTGATTTTGACTGAAAGCATATTTGAAAACCACTGACTGATACTGTCCTCAACAAATGTGCATTTTGATAAATTATTTGGGATGGAGGGGTAAGAGGTGATCCTCACATATATATAGGATAAATGTAAATGGTATAAAGTCAAAAAAGAGAATTACTATTTTTCATTAATGAAAAGGCTAAAAAATTAACACATCAGATAGACATATTCAAATGAAAATACAAAATGCATTTCAAGTTAAATTAACTTTTTTGGATTATCTCTTGTTTTGGTTTATCAACAACACGATCCCACTAGCCCAGACTACAGAAAAACTACAGTTAAAGTAACATTCTACCAGTTCTCATTTCCAAATGATTCTACATCACAGAATACAATAAGGAAAAGATATACTCAAAATACACAAGAACTATCCCTTATTTACACTGTGAGCATAAGTCAATCACCAATTGAAGCTAATAATTTTCTTTCTTTTAGATCCAGTTTTGCCAATCCTAAAAAAAAAAAAGTTAGATAATACAGTTATACCACCTGCAGAGTTATAATTTTCCCAAGAAAGCAAAAAGGAAAAAACCTACCAATAAAGGCACTGAAGTGCTGTGGCTTGCTTTCTGACCCAGCTTTGGTGACCACCAACCTTATTTTTTTTAAACCTACTGAAAGGTCACATCAAAAGATGAAATAGAATCCAATCCAAAAAGACTGAACCCCAAAAGGCACTGCTCAAATTACTGATATGGAATGCTCAAACTGCATTCTCTTCATTTGCCTTCCCCTAATGGACCATTCAATATTTAATGACATTTGCAGTACATCGCACAAAAGGACCTGCAGGCTGAGGTGAAAAGAGCTCTTCACACAACCAAAATGTAAATCTGGAAAATGGTTTTGACTGTGTATCACTTATACAGATGTGACATAACAACCTCAGTCAGGCCAAGACTCAACAGTACTATTAACATCAAAAGACTTAAGCCCTTCAGAGAACCCTCTACCTAAACCCATTCTCAGACAAAGGCCTAAGCACACTCAGCAGGGGCAAAAAACAGCAGAAGAAAATATTTTCAGAAAGGACTAATTACAAAAAGGAACAAACCTGGACTCTTTACTCACCATTTTAATACTGCTGCCAACTATAACAGATTAAAATCTGTACACACGACAAAGTAGAAAAAAGTCCCAAAATCAATAGTTTCAACAAAACAAGGTACTGACTAAGGATTACTACAATCAACATTGCTACAGTAAAAACAATGGCAAACAGGGATTTGGCACCACATTTACAAAGTAAAAGCATGCACTTTTAATACACTTCAGATGTTTCTCAACAGAGAAGGCCAATGGAAGATGGAAAACATGGGGCATCTTTTACACAACTCCCTATGACTGAGACAAACAAACAAGAATCAAAGTGATCAATTTAGCAGATATGTAGCAGCAAAGTCACTGGTTCTGTTTGGAATTTAGCAATATACTTTTCTAACTGACAGCTGCCCTGGGTGTGTCTGTATCCAAGAAGCTGACTTTATCATACTACATCAGCATTTATCTAGTAATTTGGTGATCAGCATAAACTAGGTTAACCTTCAACCACAAGCTTTAAAAAAAAAAAAAAAGAGAGAGCTAGAATCTTATTATAGACTTCTTCAATGTAACTGCCATTTAGAAACCATAATGGTATGCTGAACAGGATAGTAAGATAAATTTCATCCAAAAAACCTATAATTACAGCCCAAATAACTGAAAAGAATTAAGTTATTATGGAAATATTATAATCTGACCATACCTAGAGTTAAAAACAAAGAGTTCCTACTAAGAGGAATATTTTCAATATGATCTGGTCACATCATGTGCATAGTTAAGATTGTTTGTGTTTTAATAAAGATTCTTTCACAAAAAAATAAAATTCAGTGAAGTTATTCTTCCCTTGATGAAAAAAAAAAAAAAACTTGAAAAACTGAACTACTGGTGGTTTGTCAAGAGGGAAGAAGAAAAACAGTAAGCTACATATTGAAGTTCTGGAATGCAGCACCTCACTTCACATCTGCCCTAACGTTTGAGACTATGAAATCCAAGTCATGTCTCGGTAATCAAATCATACTTTACAGTTGCTCCAATTCCAATGTCTGACTTTAGCATCTCGTGTCAATTAAGAGTTCCCTAATACAGAAGATTGTGCTAAAAGAGTGCTAGGATTCTGCATGCTGCCGCCATTCCCTGGTCCCGTTCATGCTTGCAGCTGCCCAATGAGGCAGCAAAGGAAGTCTGGTCTCAACACTCCACACCGTAATAACTAGAAAAGAAAAATAGCTGTAATTAGAAAAAGTTTACAAAGTCAAGAGACATGACTACAGCACTATAACTAAACTGTTGAAAGTTTTACCTTTTATTAACATCCACACTCTTCAATAAAGTCCACATTCCTTTAAGTTGTTTTTAATGATGACATCTGTTACAGCATCAAAAACAAACTGCACATTTTTGGTGTCTGTGGCACAGGTGAAGTGGGTATAGATCTCCTTGGTATCTTTTCTTCTGTTCAGATCTTCAAACTGGCACTGAATGTACGCAGCTGCTTCTTCATATGTATTGGAACCTGAGGCAGACACCCAATATTCTCAGTTCAAATTGTAACAGCTGCCTGAACTCAATTAAGTCAGGCCATCACCATTTACTTATGGAGAGGACTATAACCCAATTGAAATAAGCAGATTTCTATTTTTCTATAATCCTTAGGTTTTTCTATAATCACATGTCTCTTGAGTGCACAATCTCATTGTCAGTAAATTTATCACAAAGATCCAGGAAAACAAAACTTTTTTCCTTTTTCCCTTTTATTTGAATTTTTTTAGCTAAAAAATTTAGAAAGTATAAAACGAAACTAGGGAAATGGGAGGATGCATTTCCAGAAGAACACAATTGCTTAAAAAGTTAGAAAACTTGTGTTCCTTGGATCGATGTTGAAATAAACAATTCAAAAGGGTAACTCATGCTTCTTTTCAAAATCATCCAGTTTTAACAGAGCTTAGACTCACAGCCTTACAGCAAGTTTAAATAACCAAAGGTAATACAGTAGATGCAAAAGGGAAAGGGGCTTGAATTGCATTTTATGGTATGTGAAGATCTCAATAAATCTGTTATTTCTTCAAAGAGGGGGTTATCCAAAGTAACGCTATTTCAACAACATTTAAAATTAACACTCTTAATCACCTGTTTCCAAAACAATCTTGTCAACTTGTGAGTCTTTACAATAGCCTTAGAAATTGGTTGCAGAGCCAGGGAAACTCAACAAAGACAACACACAGTTGTCTGAGAATTAAGAGGCTATTTTCAGTGACATTAAGCATGACCAAAAAAAATATCAACAACCAAGTATATAAAGAAGACTAAATAACAAAGGAAAGCTTAAGAAAAAATGACTATTATTTAAACAGTATTTTAAAAGAGGAAGGAAGCTAGCTTGGTAGGTGCTTGAATAAGATTTACTGAGATGTACAGAACCTCTGGTAAACTAAAGCAGCTGTTGTTCAGTCACTAAGTCATGTCTGACTCTTTGCAACCCCATGGACTACAGCATGCCAGGCTCCTCCTTCCTCCACTATCTCCTAGAGTTTGCTCAAATTAATGCCCACTGAGTCAGTGGTGCCATCCAACCATCTCATCCCTCTGCTGCCCCCTTCTCTGCCCCATGAGGCATATGAAAAGGCAAAAATTTAGACAGATGACCAAAACATGATTTTAGTTTGGTAGGAAGAGATACTGATACCTGGGAAATCAAGACTGTGAAAATTCTTAAGAAGAATGACAGCAATAGAAAACAGGCTTGGAAATTCACCCCACCCCCTACTGAAAAATGGATAAGATATTGACAACTCTTGGCTGTGTGTGAAGATTCCCAGCTGAAACATTAACATCAATCCTTTACTTGTCTTAAGATTTTTCTCCCATTCTAAAATCTGGCGACCTTCTATAAACTTAACCAACTCTCATCTTCCTCCTCACTCTTAACAGAAACTGCAGTTCTAATTCCCTAAGAAAAAGTCCCTAAGAAAAGAGAGGCCACAAGGCCTTTAAAACTACATCTCAACTTTTTTAAGTTGAAATGAAACTCACATAACATGCAGTAAGTTTACAATACAGTGGTAGTGGTATTCAGTGCAGCCACATGTTATACAATCACTACCTCTCTCTAGTTTCAAACTTTCCTACCACCGCAGAAAAATACCCCATTCCCATTAAATAACCATTCCTCATTCCCCCGTGTCAATTTCCTGCCAACCAACTTGCTTTCTGTCTCTATGGATCTGCCTATTTGGGATATACCATATAGAAGGAATCATACAAATGTGACCTCTTCTGTTTGGCTTCTTTCATTTAGTATAAAGTTTATAGTATTCATCAAAACTGTAGCATTATCAATACTTTGTTCCTTTTTATAGCTAAATAGAAGCCTGGCAGGCTGAAGTCCATGGGGTCACAATGAGAGAGACGTGACCAAGCACAAACACACATACCTAAATAATATTCCATAGTACAGATGTACTAATTTATTTATCCATTCATCCTACCTAGACTCTTGATTCCTTCTTTTCCCACCTGTTACAAATTTTGCTCCATCAATTACATCCACTTTTAACAACTTCTCTTTTGCTTTAGGATCTTACCTCTAAGCCTATAGACATTTAAAGATCTCTCCCTCCTCTGTAATCTAAACTGCTCAAGAAGAGGCTACACTTGTCTGTATTTCTTCACTTCCCACTCAGTAACTCACTGGTCCTGGCTCTGCTCTCATCATTCCACTGATAATGCTCTCCATTGACAACGATCTTCTAACTGCTAGCTCCACAAGACGTTTTTTCAAAATGCATTTACTTTACTTATCTGCATACGACACTGTTGACCACTCCACACTATTTAAACTCTCCTCTTAGTTTATGACACTTTAGCTTTCCAGATTCTTCTCTTTATATCCAATACTAACCTTTCTTTCTCTCCTGCCAACAGAGGCTGGTTAATTGCTCCCATTCTATTCTTTTCTCTCCTCATTCTATATCATCACCCTAGGTCATCTCATCCATTTTCATGTTGTATTTACACATGATCCCAAATCAGTATCTGTTATTAACCTTTAACCTCTCCCC